CCGCCCCCGCGGTGTTTGCCATCGGGGTCGGGTTTTCGTCGCTTGGCAACGACGCTGTCAAAGAAGCCGATCATTTCGTGAGCGCGCGGCAACCAGGTTTCTGTTTTTTTTTTTCCCGTTTTTTTTTTGCGGTATGCATAGGGGTGGTCGAGTAGGGTATGTTGTGCGGGGTCGAGAACCCTTACTCCGCACGAAGGGGGTGATCGCACCACATTGTGTTAAAATGATCAAGCACCCTTGAGGCAGTTACACAGTGCTCGTAACTGTCTCCGGGAGTGAAAGCACTAGAAAATAGATTTAGTCGTGTGCAGCTGTCATCCGTACGCGCAGGAGTAAGCACAAGATGCCGAACACCCTTAGCAGGGTACAGCGCACCCTTCAAGCGACTCCCCGATGACCTCACGGTGCTTCGCGCTTGTGATATGAGAGCCTGGTCCGGTGAGAACCCGGCATGCTCCGTCCGTCTTTATGGGATGCGAGGTCAATGGTCTAATGACTACGGCATGCACGACTATGAGTACCCCTTCCTCCCCCGGTGTTTGCCATCGGGGTTGGGGTTTTGTCGCTTAGCAACGACGTTGTATAAACGCCGATTGTTTCTTAGGCCGACAACCAAGTTTGTTGCCGCTTTTTTCTGCGGTTGGTCTTCTTTTGGCAGCCACAATGAATAGTGGTCTAGTAGATTTTGTTGCGCGGGGTCGAGAATCCTCACTCCTCGCTAAGGGGATGACCGCACCACATTGTGTGAAATTGGCCAAGCAGTTATACAATGCTCATAACTGCACCTGGGAGTGAAAACATCACAACGTATTTTCAAGTCATTCGCCAGCGGCCATCCGTACGCAAGGAAGCAAGCACAAGATACCGAACAACCTTAGCAGGATGCAGCGCACCCTTCATGCGACTTGCCGAATACCTCACCGCGCTTTGCGCTTGGTGATGTGAGAGCCTGGTCAAGTGAGAACCCGGCGTGCTCCGTCCCGGCTTTGTAGGGATGCGAGGTCAACGGTCTAGCGGCTACGGCATGCATGACTTTGAGCACCGCCCCTCGGCGGTGGAAAACCTCGAACGATAACGGCATCCAACCTCCCGAAAGAAGGTCGTTGACATCTAGCGACAACTGCGCGATCGTTGGAGACTGAATTGGTCAAGCTGAACCGCATGTATTTGAAAGTCAACCTAGCCCCATAACTTGTAGGTAGCCTTCCTGTCGCGTCACCACTATGACTTACGTCATCCCCCTCAACCTCAACTTCACTCTCCTCTGTCTTTCCTACAAGCATGGTATTGCCCGCCGTGCCATACAGTTGAGTGATGGCTGATCATTAACATGTTGGCAATTCGTCTGCCAAGTGATGCATGTAAGCTTCTTTAGCACGAATGCACTTTGCCCAGCTTCCGGTACGGACTATGTTGTTGTGGGTGTGGTGTCTCGAGGCGAACGTTCGCACGAGGACCTGCCTTAGGTCAGATGGTTGTGAAGGCACTCGAGAACAATATCCACGCAGTGATGGGCACGGAGAGACTACGATGGTTCGCAAGAACGGGAGATAATGTGTCCGTGAACCGGTCGAAAGCGCATCAAGACTCCCGTAACGAGGAACACACACATGGACCGTAGAACAAACTCAAGCCAAGCGATTTCACCGCTGAATCAATTGGGCTGACGGGCTCAAGTCGAGATAGAAAAATGCAAGCGGTCCACAGCGGCATGGGAATAGCTGCTCGTCGGCGCCCTATTCACCCCTCCTGCGGTACTTTTCCCTTGGAATATTAGTGCGAGAAGGGTGCAGCACTCTCTTTCCTTTACTCACACACGACGTAGCGCTTTTCACCCAGACCAGGAACGGAAGCAGGAGAAAAATCATTTTGCAAGAAAGGCTCGATCTCGCCGGGACTCGAATCGCTGACCCTGACCACTTGAAAGTTTTTCGAGGATAATTACTAGACTATCGGGGCGACTGGTGCTTGGGGCCACAAAAACATGCACGTTGTCCTAGAACATGGTCCACGAACGTCCACGGACGCTTCAGCGCAAGTCCACGGACATGTCCACGGACGTCCATCTTGCGCCGGACTGTTGTCCTGCCCATCCTTCGTTGCATCCGTTAGCTTGCTTTAAGTTGCCCACTCGTCCGGCGCGAGAACGTCATGGTACCATTCCGCACTTGCGGCGAACTCTGGTTGGAGAGCTGCCGACAGGATGCTAGCGTTGGCACCAGCTCTGCCCGCGGCACCTCTTGCCACGTTGCAGGCGCCATTTAGTGGTGATCACGAGTAGCACATCGCTGCGAACGCCGCCGTTCAGCCCCCGACCTGCAGGTTCTGATCCACTGCCGCTCCCTCCAAGGATTTGCCTAGGCAACTTCCTACACGAAAGGACATCGATGGGTATGCCGTCCGCAAGCGACTCTTCATGGCGGCCGTCATGTCGGCCGTAGAAAGAGGGAGGTTCATCGCTTGCCTCCCGTCGCTTCGAGCAAAGAGGCCGTCTCACCGCAATCGTTTCAGACGGCATTCCGCACATGGTACACATCGCTCAGACACTTTTGTGAGCAGCCCTCTGGCTCCCAATACCCACGAAGCAGCACAGCGCCGGGAGTGAGTGTCACATAGACAGCCGAACCGACAAGAATCACGTCCTTGAGGTTCTTCACGCTGTTGATGTACTTATTCTACCTTTTTCGCATTTGCCATGTGCACGAGAAAATGAACGAGTAGTTGAAGACCAGGCACTCGACAGTGTCTTGGTGTGAACAAACAACGGACTGAATGCATGTTGCCGCTGTTCGATGTTCGTAATAGACCTGGACGTGATTCTGGCAGGTCTTGCTTTCGTTCTCCGGCGTTATGGCGCTCGCGGTGCGTCTGATCGATCCTTGTGTCCAATCTCCTGATCGGTACAAGGACCAGCGGCTAAATCCCCCTGGTTGCTCCTGTTACGGAAACGTTGAAAAATGCCTCCGTATGTTTCAGAAGAATCGGGGTCGTGATTAGAACGTGAAAGAACGGTGTCTGATGGACCACCATGATGTCTAACAAGCACCATGAGAATCATCCCATGAAGTCTCATGGAGGCCCATGGGATTGCTCATGGGGCACGATAATGTCATTTCAGTGTTATCCCTTGGCAGAAGACGGGAAATCTGATGGGACTCTGGGAATAGTTCACCCGTCGAGCACCATGAGGCGATATGAGCGTCTCATGATACTCCATGGTATCTCATGGTGCCACATGAAATATTCTCTCACGAACCCCATGAGAATCTCATGGTGCCCTATGAGACATTTGCTCATGGGGCCCCGCGAGGGTGGTCTTGAGAATCCCATTGTCAATTGTATCTCATGGAGCACCATATTGTCTCATTGAGCACCATGAGATGCTCACGCGGCACCATGGCGCATGAGGTACCATGAGGTCCCACGCGAAATGTATCTTGGTGCCTCATGTCCACCATGAGAAATCTAATGAGGTGACCCAAGAATGTTAATCCCCCATTTGATTGTACGTAATGACCAGAAAGCATTTTTTCCGCCGTTTTTCTTGGATAAGAAAGCCCCACCTATTGCGGCATACGATCCAGCACGGCGACTATTACGTCGACGGTTCATACCCTTTGTATATCATATGATTATCTCAGCTACCTGAGGACGTGGGAGACTACGTTCCTTTTTCGTTCTTTGGTTTTCTACCTTGGCATATGGCCAAAATAATTCCTTTTTCGGGCATGCCCCCGAAGCGAAGGGTCTGAGCCCTTGTTTGACGACGAAGGGTTCGAGCACGATATGAAGAGATTTCCCGACGCTCTCTCTCCTTCATGATCTCGGTGGATTACACATGGTATCTCGGAATGGTGGGTTATATTGTAGACACCAGCTCAGAAAGTGGCGGAACACTTACATAGGAGGGTCCGCTATCCTCACATTCCTAAACCAGACGTATTTTCGTCAGATTATTTGTAACTCACGCATCCCCGCCAGTGCAAACATGGTAAACCTGTATGAGCAGGGCAGGCCCTTGGTATCCGTTGCTGTACACAGGGGACCGTCCGATGCTTCTTTCCTCCCAAGGTTGCCTGCTCCGTCTTTTTCCCTAGTAGTGTTTATGCATATGCATATGCACACGCGCAGCACAGCTTTTGGCGTGTTTCGTTTCCATGAGCCGGACGGTCGTCATGTTGTGATGAACACTCGCGCTCTGAAATACTGAATGAGTTGCATCTCTCGAGTACACTCCTGCTGCTACTTTCCGCAATGTGCTCGCGCACGCGGTATTTGCGTGCGTAGAAGGGAGTGACTCTCAATGCTCTATGTAGTTGGGCTCAATACGGCACTTGAGAGGGCAACAGCAGAACGTGTACTACACCACCTTGCCAGCACTAGGCGATTGGAGTTTCACACCGACCGGCATGTTTACCAATTTCATCGGGCGTTCGTCATCCGGTGCAGATGTAAGTATCGTCGTGTGCCGATGACACTGCTGTTCGCTAAACTCCCCAAACGTTCATGGTGCAGATTCGACACACGCATATGGCGTGAGAATCCGACATCATAACACGTGTGTTGTGAACCGTCTTTCAGGAGTTCTCCCTCCCGACACAAGAAACGTAGTGCCCGGTGCATGGGCACTTTTCCTGTGGTTTGCTTGGGGCCCGCCTCTCGTTTCTAGATCACTCTCTTACATGGCCCGTGAGTGGCAAGCACGACCGGTACCCGCGCTATCGTTCTTGGCACCTTGATAACAAGTGTTTCAAAGCAATGGTAGCGCCGATGTCACCAACCCTCGCCCTCCCTCCCTTGCATCCCCGCTATGGCCTTCGCTACAGGCAGGTCGACCCGATATGGCGGCACCAAAAGCGCTATTGACGGACACTTCGGAGAAGCTTAGACTTGCGTTTTCCAGCCTGCTAGCCGTCGATCAAGATTATGTGGCTCATATGACCGGTGTTGGCACCCTCCCTCTACCTCAAGCAACATCAAGGGTGTCTCAAGCAGCCAGCATGGCGAAGAGGGCGGCACTTTCTGTCTTGAAGGCGGCGAAGGCAGCAGAGGTCGCGGCCGCCACAGCGGCAGCCGAAGCAGCGATTGAAGCAGCTACCGCGAAACCAGCACCGGCAAAGATTGCAGTCGAGGAAGCAGAGGCGGCAATAGCTAGAACAACATATGTGAAATCAGAAATGGACCCGTCCGTGAACTACAGGTGTGCACTTGACTGACTTGTTTGCGTTGCCGGACGCTTCGTGCCCATTCGTGCTGTGCTGCCATTGTCTGCGCAGTCTACGCTTAACAAATTGTACTCATGCAACGGTAGGAGTGCACAAATCCCTCCTGATCTTCCAACGTGCTCGGCTCAATATCTCAGCCTGGAACGTACGGCGCGATGTACTGGGTGAAACACAATTGAAAATCAAAATTGGAATAGATGTTCGAATTGTTTTGGATGGTGACGAACTGAGTGATCGAATACGAGAATGTTCTTGGCCATCACGTTCTATACCTATCGTTGCATGACTCTATTGGATTGTTTTTGGTTGGTGACTCATTTGAGTGATCCGAACACGAGCATTTTCTAGGCCATCATGTGCAATACCCACCGTTGCATGACTCTGTTGGGATGCACTTCGTTGGAATGTGTAGGATGACTGCGGGCAAGACAATTTGTCGCATTTACAGCCTTACCCGAGGAGTGGAAAACGTGGATATGAGCTAGCGGCGCGTCAAACCCGATACTGGTTGGTTGACACTGTATTACCTTACTGTTCCTGTCGTTTGGATCACCTCATTCAGGAGAACGCCAAGTGGCTACAAAAGCGGCAACAAGGGTTCAGGTACGAAAAGGGACAGGAAATGTACGAGGGGGACGCACGGTTTGTGGTCCTGCGGCGAATGGGCCCGTGCTCTTTGCTGTGACTGGTTCTGTCGTGCCACCTACATGACCTCTTTGTGAACCTCCACTGCGTTCGACCCCACTTTTCTCCGTTGCAATCCGTGTCATGCTTTACGCAGGCTCCACGTCATGTTCTGGTGTGGAAGCAGAGAACGGTGGTGTTACTGCCACGGTCAAGGTGAGCCTTGCGTGCCATTGCGGACGATGGGTGTCCGGTCATATGTAATGGGTAGTCAGCACTATCCCAACATATGCACGTACGGATGGAAGAGAAATGAGGACACATGGCGTGGATCTGTTTCACCAACCGGCTGCTCGAAACGCTCCTCTGTGCCCTCGTGTGGATGCCCCTTACGCCTATCGTACTTCCGCCATTAAGACCTGGGAGTCAGACATGTCGGAATCGGACATGTCGGAATCGGACATGTCGGAATCGGACATGTCGGAATCGGACGAGGACACACCACAGGACACCGAAGATATCGGGGAGGAGCATGAGTCATCACACGATGGCGGTCTTGTTTCAGAGTCCGGAAATGCCGATCACGAGAGGCATGGCGAAGCTGAGGTGGGGATCCCAGGATGACTATTTTCGTACAGTGCCCTCTGTTGCGTGACGATTTCGCTCTTGGCTGGTTGTCAAACCGGCTTGCGTGCCTTCTCATCAGTCCCCATCTATCGCATGGCAAATATGTAGCTGCACCTGACACTAGTTGACTACGTGTCAGTTGTGCCGTTTAGAGGAAGCAGGGTTACCACCAGCACACGTTGCATTAGGTCTCGCTGTTGCTGTGTGGCCACCTACTTCTTCACCACAAATATGTTGCTGAATCAGGCCACCACGGTTTGGCCTGTTGACATTGATCGGAGGCAGCACGTAGCCGACAACAGGCTGTTGCCTACGAGGGATGAGGACATTCGAATTGTACCATGGATTAAAAATCTTTCTCCGCCCACTCCCAGCTTGTAGGATGTTGGCACGTTGTTCTCTCGCCTTCCATTTAGCAGATCGTGGCCGTGTGTTGATGGATGGCGTTGACAGGTAACTCCTGGGATGGCTGGCGGAGAAGAGAAGGGAGAAGAGGAGCATCACAGCGACAAAGAGGAGGAGGAGGATGAGGAGCATGAAGAGAATGTAGGCTAGCGTTCATGGCCTTCTGTAGAGTTGACACATTTGATGTGACACCGAAGTGGTAATGGTGGAGCATGCGTTAATCTTGCTTAACTACCGACGGTCAATGGAGTTTGCAGCATATCGGTACGACCTGCATTCACATGGTCCCGTGTCTCGACTCAATGATGACCAGCGTTGTGCAGAGTAGAACCACAATGTTGAAATCAAGTACTCACTTTACATGCAGCTGGTTGGATATATTTTGGGCTCCGTCTGAGAATCGTCTTCGTACCCTTTTGCATTGTCGTCGCCCTTTCCGCAGCAACAAGGGGTGGTACTATTACACGTTTTCGTGCCTAGCTGTTGTGGATAACTGGATTTTTCTTTATGCTAAAGGTTGAATTTTGCTGTGTAGCCCCACAACGGTCTTTTTTGAGATTAGTCTTGCGGCATGGACGAGATCGATTTTTTAAACTTTTCGGACGATTGGCTGCAGGGAAGGCGAGGCAAGCGCAAGCACAGGGGTGCAGCCAAACCCCCTCGGCGGCACAGCGTCCGTGCTGCCAGCAGCTGGCGACCCAACTACGAAAGGTGAACATGAGGACGAAACGAGTGTGGTGGTCGGGTGTGGCTACCTTACCAAGTACTGTGGTCAATTAGAGTATTGTCGGGATCCTTCAGGCTTTCAAATGCTCTGATGACTCATGGCTTACAACTCTCAAATATTCCTCCCCTCTGCCGGTGTTTGCCATCGGGGTTGGGTTTTCGTCGCTTGGCAACGACGTTGTAAA